CACTGCAGTGAGGGAGGGAGGGAGTGGGGTGAAAGGTGGGTTGGGGCACCTTAATAACCCCAGCTCCCACAACTGGGTGGGTTACCTGCTAGTAGGGCTCAGAAGGTGGACCCAGGAGTGAGAGTGGTGCTACAGACTCAGAAACCTGTCTTGAAATCCCTCGACTGGTCAGTGCTGGGGCCAGGACCAGAAGGATCAAAGGGCCAGGGGCCCACTGTGAGGGATGCCCAGAGGTGAGGGCCTGGTCTTCCAACCGGCCTGGAGGTGAGGCCAGGGCCTGTGTAGCCAAAGGTCCTGGGTGGACCACACCTGTAAGGGGGAACAGATCAGGGAGCTAGACAGCCCCTGATGAATGTGGAGTAGGTTGCCTGAATGGAGGGATCTTAGAGAGGTCCTGACTGGAGGATTCTGGTGCCCAGTGTTGGACCGGTGACATCAACAACAGTGGATACCATCTGCGAGGCTTGGGCTGTGGTGTAGGGGAGGAACGGAGCTGCAGGTAACACCTCTTGGTGTTGGGGCAAGAAATGGGCAGCCTCCCGCCTAATTAACAACTTAATTAACAAGGCATGGCAGGAGTGGAAGCAGGTGGTTGGCCCAGAACAGGTGGGCGGGGCTGTTGTTAGGCAGGCCCTGAGAAGGCCCCCTGTTACACCCCACATCCTATGTGGGGCAAGATGCTGCTGCAGGCTTTTCCTGGCACAGGGCGGGGGAGTTGGATCAGTATTGGCTATTGGTTATCAGCCCCCAAAATCTCTATTGGTGCACCCCTAGTTGAAATGATCTGTATTTCATCAGTAGTCTACCAAGTTGTCTGGTCTGTCTGCAGTTGTATGATGATGAATTAAGAAGTTATACCACAGTTGTATGTCCACATGATAAGATATGACTAGTTACATTGCATCAATGTCTGAAACAGTTGCAGTGGTGTTTCCTGCAAATATGGCAATTTGTAGGCATTGCCACACAACAATGTGTGTGTGAATGAACACAGGTGAAAGCAGAGGCCTGATAGAGGAACTTTTGTCTTCTGTGTCACTGAATCTTAGAATCAATCTTGTCATTTATATGAATAAAAGTAGCTTTCTCTTTTGGGCTGTACTCTTACTTAATAATGGCAAGGAGAAATATTTTTGGAATGTTGATGATATGTCTGTCCATCTAGTTGATAAAATCTTGTTGGAGTTTTGTACCCGGCTTTTATTTGGGTAAATGTTAACAGTGCCATTGAACAAATGGCTTGGCCATTGCTGTCTATATCACACATTGCTGATAATATAGTACCACATCAAATGACTAAATTGGGGGGAGGGGGGAAGTGAATGAGAGAAGACATCAGACTCCCTTTGTCTATTCTAGTTGAAATTTAAACTCTTTTTAAACACTGCAGGCTTCTAATTTTTCCTTGTGTTGTATTCATTCATCTTTTTGTAACAGATGTTGAGGAGCACTGACAAATGACAGTTCATTTATCATTAAGTGTTCATTGCTTGATCATCATGAAAAATGCTTTTGTAATTTAAGGCTTGTTTTCTTAATGCTTCCACTTTTTTTCCTCCATCTTTTCAGATAATGGCACAAGCTCGAGACTTGGGGAGGAGATACATTAAAGCTTTTTTAAAAGGTTTCTTTGTTGCTGTTCCTGTGACAGTGACTTTTCTCGATAGAGTTGCCTGTGTAGCGCGTGTGGAAGGAGCATCAATGCAGGTAACTTTGTTTCAACTAAATCCATGTGTTTTATCAAGGCCTGTGGCTGAATTTTAAATAATTTAAAATTCTACTTTCAGTGGTGGGTGGCAAAGGACTTATTCCTGTCTCAATTTTATGCTGTAATATAAATGCCTGACTTATGTCTGTCTGTCTGTCTTTTTTCTCTCTCTCTCTCTCTCTCTCTCTCTCTCTCTCTCTTTCTCTCTCTTTTTTTGTCTCATAAATATTTGTGTAATATGGAAAGAATAGGCTCTTAGGCCATGTATAGACATTTGGTTTCTCCTGGAAGAGTCACTGCTGTCCCTCGAATAACCACAAGTGTACAGGCATTCAGACATTCAGGATTTTTGTCCTGGCACAGAAATGCCTGTTCTGGGAGAAAAATAATCTGGGAGAAATGACAACAACCAGGGTTAAATTGTTCCCAGGAGAGTTTCTCCTGTGAGAGTGAATGTCTATACACATTTGCTTCTGAGAGAACCCACAGTACAGTCCTTCAGTATCCTAGTCCTTTCTGTTCTCCCTTCCCCTAGGACATTGTGCTAATTGGGCTGGACCATATGGCTTCAGCTGAACGGGAAAGCAGAGTGCCCTCCCTTCACAATCCCCACATTGTACTACAGTGAGACACAGGCTGGTCTTGGACAGTCTGGGTTAGGCAGTCAGGGCTTCTCTGTGCATTGCTGCCATCTGTTTACAGGCAGCCTCAGGAAGCCTGTAGGGCACTCTGAGATGTGTACACAAGCGCCCTCTGGTTGCTCAGCATCAACACTGCAAGCTCTCTGCTCCTTGGGGCCTCTGCCTTTAAAAGTCTGTTCAGGGGTCTCTAGGTCAGTTTTTCTACCAGGAAAACAAACCTGGGAGAATTCTCCCAGACGATTTGAATGTATGCAGCGTCAGTAATAAAAAAAAATCTCTCAAAGTGTTAGCCTAGTAAAACAAAAACTATACTTGGCAAATCCTCTTATATTTAGATTACTAAAAATTTCGGTCTCCTGTGACTAAAACTTAGACTGTAGAAGAGGCTGTGTTTTTGAAGCTGTTCTGTTTAAAACACAATACTATATTCACTTGAATATAAGATCATCTCCAATAATTAGACTCTATATAGAAAATATATAAATTTGATATAATTTTCTAGGTATAGAATCTAATTATTGGAGACTTATCTTGAATTTGTCCCTCTCCCATGGATACATCAGGGAAAATTAATCTGGGGGGTCAAATAGCCTCTTGCCCTCTGTCCCCCTAACTTCTTCCCCCTCTAGTCCCTTCTCTCCCTCCTTACTATCAGACCCTGTTCTTCCTGAGCACATGGAAGTGAGGAACAAATTTTGAAAAATTTTAAAGCAAAACTTAAAATAAACATAGCTCTAGTAATTTGCATAGGGTACCCGTAGTTTTAGTTCATCCAGAACTGATTCATTTAGCATTTTTTTTTTTTGAAATTGCTGCAAGTTTTAGCACAGGCACTTCATAAACACCCTTTTAAGTAGAACTTTGGGACCTATTAATGTATAATACATACTATGAATGATATTAGTGCAAAGCCAAAAGGCCCCTGATTTACCACAGAGTTCACTGGGCTTGTTCTCACCAGAGTCAATAGTGTTTAAAGCCATGGGGACCCACAGCTCAGCACTGCTTAGTAGGTGTGTGGACTCCAGATATCTACCTCAAAGGTTCTTGATTGGAACTAGGTGTTCTTGACACACATCATGGGATTCTCCAAAAATTTATACGCAGATGAGCCATAGGGCAGCTTGGTCTGGCTTCACCTCATGGCAGGTGGGGCCATACTGATCAAATGTGATAAGTGGAGAGAGGGGACAACAGCGGGATTCTGCATGAACTGCTTGCGGCTGTTTGGTGATGTTTGCCAGATATTTAAAGCTGGTGAAGAAACCGGGAACACTGGAAATGGGAAAGAAGGGCTCAGCTCAGGTGTGAAGAGGAAGTAAAAATGTATGCAGTTTCCAATTTGTGTTTTCCAAGCCCATCTATGCACGCCACTCCCAAAACACGAATTTTACGTCCCTGTCTTCGGCCTTGTGAGCTGGTGCCACCTTGTTTAAGGTTATGGAACAGTGTTGTGCATGCCCCAGTTTGTCAGCCTATGTGTCCTTGTTTGTTAAACTCCCTGTCTGCTTTTGAAGGCTGAGAAAACTGTACGAGACCCAGGCTTTTAGTAATCAACCCCTGCTACCCATCCTGAACCATTCGTGTGTGTGTGTGTGTGTGTTCAATTCCCAAAAAGCAAACTTTTAAATGCCATTTTCAAGCCATCACTGGCTTTGGGCACATCCAGATAAGTGTGCATGTGCCTCGTATCCTGTCTCAAACCCCTTTGAGATGGGGCAACAGCCATGTGTGGGAATGAAAAAAGGTTCCCTGCATTGCAAGTTTGCAGCGCGGGGAGAAAATTAGACCCCTGGATATCCTAAAAAACTTGAAGTTCAAAAAAGTGGAGGAGGGTGCCCTGAGGCAACCGGAGGCAGCTCTGGCAGCCAGAGTGTCTCTGTGGTTGGCCCCTCTCGCTGGTGCTGAAACACGCGCTGGCCAGGCCACATATTCAGCACAAAGGTGCTAGTGCCAATGAGTAAGGGGTTGGAGGGCTGGAGGAGAGGGGAGGGGACCATGGGGGGGACCGCCGCTGGCCCCGCCCACTCCCACGCCCCCCTGCCCTGCCTGACTCTGGCCCCCGACTCCTGCCCTGATCAGCCCCTCCCCCTGCGAACCCCCACCTGACCTCCCAACCCCTGTCCTGCCCTGCCCAGGCTCTTCAGCCCCCCTGCTGTCCTGTGTTGCCTGAGGGGGCTCTGCCAAGAGGCCCCGGAGCCCCCCAACCCCTGCTTCTAAGGTAAACAGAGGCTTTTTTTTTTTCTGTTTGTTTTTTCTGCATTTTTTTTTTAAAGTGATGGTGCCTGGGGTTGGGGGGGCAGCCATGGAGGCCTGGGGGTGCAAGTTGGGGGGTGAGGCTGGG